GGAGAAGGACTCATCCGCCAACGTGTCCCATAGGACCCTTGGAATGCGGTCCCAAAGACGTGTGTAAGGCGGGCGCATAAGAAACTTGGTAGATACCCTAGCCATGATGAAAAAGGGGGTTTCGAGCCTCCTATCGAACCGCCGGGACCCAACCGCTGCACAATGCATGCATGCTCCAACCTTGCAGAATGCAGAGTGCAGATGGAGCAGGCAGGCCACACGCATCCCGACAAGTCCCCCCCAACGTCCCGAGATTTTTACCGGGAAAGGGGGGAGCGCGACCCAAAATCAACCCCCCAGAAACCCCCCAAAAGCACGGAGGGGGGAGACCGACCAGGCGGGGGATTCCCCAAAACCCCAAGGGGACCTCAAGGAAACCAAGAGTCGGCCGCAGCCACTTTTTCCGAACCGTGGCTGAGATGGCCTCCTTGGGGCAGCTAATGCATGTGGCCTCATGGTCGAGGAGATCAAGCTGCCGTGACGTGGCTCCACTGCCATGCAACCAGAAGAACCCACGTGCGCCACCAGAATGGAATAAGAGAGGAAACAGTGGTGAAAACCGAACCCAATAAGGAAAACCCTTTCCCCCTCCCCCCCCGGAGACGGGGCCAAAGGCACCCAAGTCCCGGGAGGAAGAAATCACACGACTCCCACATCCGACAGGGTTGTGAGACAAAACCTAGCGGCTCCCTCCCTTCAGGATCGCCTCTTTCGCCACCGAGTGGATTGCCGCCAGCCCCGACTTCTCCGGGTTGCTCAGGATGACCGACCACAAGGCTGTGGAGACATTTTCCAGGCCGTTCGAGGAGCTGAAGCGCATGCGGGGGGTGCTCGCGTCGCTTAGGACCAGCCGCTCATCCCTGGGAGGCTCCGTTGGCTCCACCCTCTTGTAGAACTCCATCCGGTCGCGGATCCACTGATTGTACAGCTGCTCCGGGGGCTCGTCCATCACCAACTGCAAGCAAATGGCCTTATCCCTGTGCCAGCCTGGTCCCCCCTACGGCTCGCCTTCCAGAAGCCCTTGCAAAATCTGCACATATAGCCACATGGACGTACTTTTGGCCCGCAACCGCCGTGACCGTGGCCGGTGATGGGCGGGTACCGCCTGTGGTGTCTGCCCCCCCCAGGACCTTGGCCTTTGGGTCCGCCTCCTTGGCCGCTCCCCCCCCGGGGCCAACGGCACCCAAGGGGGGGGAGCAACCCAGCTGCCGGATGAGGTCCTGGGAGTAGCCCAACCTGTCATACAAGGCCCCCGCCGCCTCCTGCGGAACCGTCGTGGACCACATTGCAGCGCCAATTGACCTTCACCTCCACCATCGACGACTTGCTCAGGCCCGCCACCAACTTGGTGTAGACCAAGTCGAAGGCCTTCAGCGAGGCCAGCGGGAGGGTGATCCGTTCGTCGCAAATTGCCCTGAACCGCAGCGCCTCCTTACTGTCATGGATGGGGGCCACCGGCATCTCCATCACGGGCAACGGGCAGTTCACGATGAAATTCTTTGCCGCCAAGAATGTCCCCATCTCCTTGAAGATGTGCGCGGCTTGGGGATGCCCAGGCTCTCCAGGAAGGGCACCGCCTCCTTCCTCATCTGGATAATGTTGCCCATCCACTTATCCGAGGTCGAGCCCTCCGCATTGCGGCCCCGGCGTTGCGTCTTCACAATCAACGGGAAGGTGGTCCAGGCCGAGTAGATATACTTAAATGTGAACCTGTGGGCGTACACTCCCGTCAGGCTCGGCAGGTCCCACGTTCTCGTCTGTCTGGTCCAAAACACCCCATCACCCTTCGCCCAGAAGATACCAACCACCTGCTCCGGTGCCGGGCGCTCGCCCCGGTTCACCTGAGCTCGGATCTCCAAGGCAGTGTAGATGACTGGGTCGATGTGGTCCTGCTCGCACGTGAATGGGTGAGTCCTGCGCTCAAGGGCCGGGGGATCTCACCGCTTGCGTGCTTCTTCCAAACCCCCCCAAACATCCGGAGCTCTCCCTGGTGCCGCTTCATTGCCCAGAGGATAAGGGACAGCTTGCCTTCCTCAGAGTCCGGTATGGGCTGGTCCCCCCCGGGGCCGGTGGCACCCTTGAAAGGGCCGGTGCCTCCAGCTCGGGCATCTCCTCCAGCAGTGCCTCCTGGTGCCACGGGTTCTGCGACGCTCTGAGCATCTTGATGTAGGGGACATACTTCTCCTTGATGTCCCCCACCGGGGGATGTCGTCGGGGTCATCCAGCTCCAGGGGGCAGAATAGGCCCCTCTCCAGGGCCTTCCTGAGATCATCCGGCCACGCCGACACTTCCAAGGGCTTGAGAGTCTGGTTGAGCATCCATGCCTGGTTGGTGTCCTGGATTCGCTTCCTGAATGGAGCCCATCGCCTCAGCCAATGCCTGGCTGGCGTCAACGCCCTTCCCCTCCAAGTACTGGTCTCTCAGCTTGGCCTTGAAACGCTCCAGGTTGACCTTCCTGAGGGCTCGGGCTCCCTCGTTGGCCACCTCATCTGACGGCAGGGCCTGCATGCCCTCCTGGAGGGGCGCCAGGATCGCCATCTCGTTGTCCAGCATCTCCTCAGTGACCAACTCCTTGTGCCGCCGCCTGGCCGAGGCCTCCTCCGGAGTCGGTTCCCGCTGCTCCCTGATTGCCTGGTTTATCTGGGGATGGTAGAGCTCGAAGCTCTGAGCCTCCGCCTCCTTCAGGGACCGCTGCACTTTGACCTTGATCTCCTGGCTTTCCCGGACCTTCAACGCCTCGTCGTCCGCCTCCATGGACAGGATCTCCTGCCGGATGTCCACCCGCCTGTTAAGCGGGACCGCATCTGCCATGGTGATCTCATCCGCCGAGCGTTTTTGGAGGGGCTCTCCCCAAGACCGTGCCGTCCACCAAGTTGCGGTCGGCCTGTGCCAGGGTACCACCGGGGCCAACGGCACCCAGGCTTCCCCATTCCCGCTGCTGGATCCAGGTCGGCTTGCCCTCCAAGATGAGCAGGTTGTAGGTGATGCCGTCCGCCTCATAGGTGGCCGAGGGTGCCTGGAAGGGGGCGAACTCCTTGCCGGGGCAGACCCAGCACTGCTTGGCTGCCTCATGCCTTGCACATGAACTTGTAGTCGGAATGACCTGCGTCGAGCCTGTACATGCGCTGGGCGCCGATACACGCCTTGTTCCTCTGGAACTGCGAAGCCCAGACCTCCTCCTGGCGGAGCTGGATCTTCATCGGGACGTACGCCTCCAAGGATGCGGATCACCAGGTCCTCCGTGAGGTTCTTCCCAACAAACTTGTGAAACAGGGAGACCGCCTCCTCCACCGTGATGTCTCTCAGCAAGGTGGCCGCCGACGCTGGAAGGACTGGAAACAGGTCTGGGAGGTCCACCAGCTTGAAGTACCCGGGTTTTCCGTCCACCGGCGCCAAGGTGACAGGTTTGTTGGCCTGAGACGTAGCCTTCTGAGAAGCCGCCACGAAGCCCTTCAGTCTCTTCGTGGGTGGCGTCTGCGCCTCCTCCGGTGGTGTGGCCCGCTCCGTGCCGTCCGCATCCCCCATGTCCTTGTCGCCCTCCTCGGCGGGGCCAGGGGCACCCAAGCCGGGAGTCGGTGTGGCAAATGCCACTCGGAGACGCTCCAGTGCGCTGGAGAGGTCCTTCATCACATCGGTCGCCGAAGCTCACAAAGGGCCTCGGGCTCGTCCAAAACCAAGCCGGCCGCCACTGCCGCCTCCCGTGTGCGAATGTCCTGGGCCTCCTGGCTGGCCATTTCAACCTCCTCCACGGTGAGTGTCTGGTCCTCAATCAACTCAAAGGAAGTTGCCGAGGTTGCCGAGGAAGCCATTGCTTGGTCGGGGTTAAGTTCGAAAATGCAAAAGATCAAAGTTTTTCAATCAGCTTGGGTTCCAGGAACCCAGAACAATGCTTGAGCCAAAATGGCACATGCCATTGTGGTCAAGCATTCCACACACAGTTCATGTTTCCACATGCGTTTCAACATTAACAAAACACGGGGACATTAATTCGGGGTCAACACGAGTTAGACAAGGTACAAACACTCTCCAGACAAAAGCGGTGTTTGGGAGATGTTCCTATTCATGGACAGAACCCTGTACGGACACCCTATGAACATCGGCAATCACCGACCAACTGGTGCAAGGTTTTGTCCATCAGGAACTGACAGTACTGTGGATACAAACTCCTGCACCAGTTGGGGTGGATGAAACCCCCATGAATTCTAGGAAAAACCACCTACCACTTGGTGTAGGGTTGTGTCCATCCACAGTATGGCGTTTAATTGGTTGATTGTCCAAGATTCTCTGGGGAACTTTTTTCCGGGTGGACGAGTCGTTTCTCACAGCAGGGCCCTCGAGTTCTCCCGCAAAAACTGTTCTCGGGCTGTCCTTCTGTCAATTGTATTAAGCGCAAAGAATGCATTGAGGTTTGTCCAAAAATTAGGGGACCCCCCAATTAAAAATGGCTGGTCTCCCTTTACATCGCCTCTGAAACCAAAAAAACAACTGTCCCCGAGAAAGACACGCCAGGTGATAGAAATGAACAATCGGCTGTGAAGCCCAACCCGAGAACCCACCAAAACAGCGCTGTGCCCAGGCTGTATACGGACTCCAAAACAATGATACAGCTCAATAGCACAGACCAGGAATGGGCAGGAGTTTAAACGGGGACACTTGGGTGGACATCACTCAGGTAGGGACTTGTGTCCACCAGCCATTTTGAGGGGTTCCTAATCCAAAGTCATAGCCGGTGATTTTCGGCAGGCCAAGTTTCCGTCCAGTATCCTCGCACACAGCTTCATTTCCTCAAGGTCAGGCTGCATATGGCTCAAAGTTGCCCTCCCACAGGAACAGGACTTGATGAAAATATGTTTCCCAAGAAACACGCTTCTTGGAAGAAAGATTGGGGAATGAACCGCACCAGAACTCGATGATACCTTGGGGTCAGTCCCACTGAGAACAAGTCTGCATCCTTCACAGCGAGCCGGGGCCCAGAAAACGCGTGTCCCGTCCAATCTCGCCTCCAAGCGGTCCATCTCCGAGGGAAAGTCCTCATACAAGAAAAAGCGGGTGAACAAATGGAAAAACCCAGTCCCGCAAAGGCTTAGCCCTCAAGCAACACGGAATAGTAACAAGGGGGCCCCCGATAAAGCTTCGTCTAGGATGAAACAACCTAAACTGAAGAAACACAAAACAAACCAGGGATGGCAAAGGTCGCCCAACTTGACCCGGGTGGGGTGGGGTGGGGGACGGGTTCTACAAGCAACGGACAGTGTAGCTAGCCGTTGTCAACCAGGCTCAACTCCTTGTTGCTAGGAAGTCTGTCGCTGCAAATTAAAATGCCACTAGCAGTAAGCAATGCCGTGTTAGCAGAAAAGATATAGACAAATACCGTTGTTAACAGAAACCACTCAAGAACCATGACTCATGATCATGCCTTTGCCTTCTTTTGCCGCAGGCTCGCCCTTTTCGGCTGTTCAAAAAGGTGGGCACCGATGCATCCAAGAGGCAATGAGCACACGCAGCAGAAACCGGAAGACCACAGCATGCGCACCAACCTGAGTCTATCTCGATCCCTATCTCTCTGTGCATAGCACTGCCCATGGCACTTTGAAGGCTATTTGGCCAGACTGACGAGATCCTGAAAGGAGGCGAGGGGGTTCTGCACACCTGAAAGGAATATTCTGGTGTCTTGCTTGATGCTCCTCGCGGTTCCCGAGTTGTTGTGTTTTCGGGACGGCTCTCCCTTCGATCCCCGTGAGGATGCCATTTTTACAACACCTGTTTGCAGAACACGAACACACGGGCGACATACACAAGCCAACTGTGCCACGGCTCTGGTGCTTCCTTCTCACCTTCCAATCTCCCAAGCTGGGATTTCAAGGACTCGAGCGCTCTGGCGCAATGTGAAATCCGTGCTCTGACCTTCAGCTGCGGGAATTTCAGTCGATGGCGGGTGCTTCATCGGCCAACTGGATGTCCCTTGTGGCGGCAGGAAAGTCCAAGGCAAAACACCATTTGGGTTGTGCCTCAAATTTGGGACAAACTCAGATAGGGACCTTGGTGAGTATCGAGGTCCTTCAGGCGTCGATGACGAGACCGTTGGTGCTCCCGATCTTCACAAGCCATTGGGCAAACTCTAACAACCAGACCCTGGTAGATGAATTTTGCAAGAAATGTGGCCAGAGCCCAAACAGGAGCAGCAACAAATGGAGTCTTTTGCAGGTCAATGAGGGCCTACAACTGACTACTTCCCTTCAGTTTGAGTCTTTGAACACCCTGCCACAAAGAAATAAGAGCCAAATCCAATGGGGTAGATTTTGTGTCCCAAGACCTGAGACCTGTCCATCGAGAGAGCCAAAACCGTCCCCCGAAACGCCCGGCGGCCCGGCGGGCCGCTGGCAGTGCTTGAACTCCGAAAGGGACTCCAGCACGATCTCGGAGGTGTGTTCCAAGCTGAACAATGGGATGTAAGACACATACGGGCATTAAATCAGGCAGGGCAGTTGTGCAAACAGAAAGCCAGGCAAGCAAACACTGGCAAAGAAGCAAACGCAAAGCGAGACACCTGGCCGCAAACGAAGAAGCAAAACACAAACAAGCAAACAAGCAAGCAAGCAAGCAAACAATCAAACAAACAAGCAAGCAAGCAAACAGCCAACCAACCAACCAACCAACCAACCAACTAGCCAGCCAGCCAAACAAACAAACAAACAAACAAACAAACAAACAAGACAGACAGAAACACAAACAAGACAAACAAGCAAACAAAACTCAGAGGGATCCCCGCCCCGCACGCGGGCTGTCAGCATTTGCCTTGTGTCTTTGGGGCCTCGCGCCAGCAAATTCTTTGGGAGCACCTTGGAGATCTTGAAGCAGTAAAGGAGCGCCTGGGCAAAACGCTGAAGCAGGCCCGATTCACCCCCTCACTCTTTGAAGGGGGAACGAGCGGAAGTTACATACACAATAGGCGCTTAAACTTCCCCAAGCTGGATCCGACTCGCAAGCCGCTCTGTTCAACCACCAAGCCCCTGAGTTTGACTGTTTCTGGCTCCCTCAAGCCGACTTGGGGATGTGATGGCGAAAGAAGGGTGGCAGTACAGAAGATACCCTCAAAACACAAGGGATGGCAAAGGCCGGCCGACCCATGAGGCTTGAGTCGCGACCATTCCCAATGATTACACTAAACTGTACAGCCAGTGGGGAGGTTCCCTTTCGTGTGTGCTCGGCAAGTGGTTCGTAAGCCTGGTTATATGCCATTGAAGGGAGACTTGCAAATGGCTTTTGTGGGCTATACCCATGATTCCCCACCTTGCCTGACGAATTTCCAATGGATCGCCCCTTTAAAGGTGTCTTCTCAGAAACCTCCAGAGAATTTCCATTTCGACCTCGCCTGGAGCTTCATCTCCTTGAGCTCCAGCGGATCCTCGGAGACGCCGAGGCTACGCCGGACACCGGGGAACGACGACGCTTGCCATGAATCTCATGGCTCACATGTTCTTGTTCTTGCTCAATCAAGAAAAAACGAGACAAGTTCCTTCATGACCTTTACCATGGAATTTGTCTCGAATTGGCCTTTGACTAGATCATCTACCTATCATGGAACTTGCATGGGCTTGTTTTACATTTTAAAAAAATAAGAGTGACTAACATGGAAATACACGGGCACCGCCTTCGCTAAACTTGGGACTGAAAGAACTCCATGAGGTGTGTTCTGTGTCAAGCCCATGGATTCACTGCTAGTCTTCAACAACCCCCCAACCCCGCCTGCCCAACCACCAACTCAAACCCTTTCCCCCTCCCGCGGACCTCCACACCCCATGCCCCTTTGCAGCCCAGGGCGCGTGCCAGCGCGGGCACAGCTCCTGGACCCGCGCCCAGAGAAGATCGAAGGACTGGGCCGCGGAGAGCGCCGTGAGCCAACCTCAGGCACCCAGAGCCAGCGGGACTGAGTCTGCTTGCTGTTTGCTGCGATTCCGCATGCTAGCTGCTGGCACGTTTCTGTTTGGCGCCCTTCAATGCATCCCAGCTTGCGCGGGCCCGCATGCACCCCTACTGTCACATCATCACAACCCCCAACTTCCCCTGATTTTTGTTTCCACTACCATGCCTCGAGAGCCTCTACCCTGAACAAGAAGATCCGGATTTATTCTGGCTTGCTTTCTTTCTGCAAGGCCAGATTTGTTTGAAACAATGGAACCAACATATATCAAGAAACGGGAAAACCCTAACCCCAGACCCGGGGTTTTCCTGGCCAAGCCCAGGTACGCCCCGGCCCCAGTCTTGTTCCCCCTTTGCCTGGCCAAGCCTAGAAGCATAAAGGGGGTGTCAGCGGAAACGACCAAAAATCCCCACGCCATGTCAGCTGGCAGACATGATCCCTTTGAATGAACTCACTATGGCAAAAAGGATCATGATTCTCTCAAGCGCATAAAACCGGACTTGTACAAAGAAGTGGGAGGCTTGGCGAGGCAGGCCCAGTGATATCGGTTGCCTAGAGTTGCTGTTGTTTGGGAGGGGTCTTTGACTCATGTAATGGTCAATTAACCTGGAAGCTGATGTTCGGGCGGGTCCTGGTTTGGACCATTTTCGTTTTAAAGGGATCATATCCCGAACGTCAGGTCCCATGTAAAAACGGTGGGAGGGTATCTCTAAACGGTCACCCAAACACCACTCGCGCTCTGACGTCCCAGCTAACAGAGAGCAGCCGGAAGCAGGGCTCCATGGCAGCGTCCTGTGGACAGATTCCCACCAAACCCCCGCGTCCATGAGCCAAAACCTGATTTGGGCGTGGGTCAAACATGGAATCGGCAACCCCAAAAAAATGGACAAAAAACCAACAACTGGGTAGCTGGAAACAATTGTCCTAAAACCTTTGTAGTCCATGTCCTGAGTAAATTGAAAATGTTGACGCCCACGTCCAGCCAACTTTGCCCCACAAACCTCCCGCCTGCACCAGCGCGAAGAGGCGCTGCACCACCGCCTCCGCCACGGAGCGGTCCACCTGTCGATGGAAACGAAACTGAGATGTCGTGAGCAGTTGGGGGTCTCGTATTTTAGTCCAAAAACAAGAATAAACGTGGAAAAGTCGTGGCATTTTGTGTGTGTGTTTAAAAAATGGAATCTCCGAAAAAAAGAAGAAAACAAACTTCCCTTTAGCCGGCCGTTAGAGCCAAGGATGCCCTCACAAAAACAGAAAGGGACGCTATACGGGCCCTCTTTTTCCACAGTTATGAAAAGGGGGAAAACCCAGTTAGGAAAAGGGAGAAAACCGTGATACAATGTCATTCTTGCTTGCCTGAAGTAAAGCATCCTGCGTTCGAAAGAAGTCTTTCATCTGATCTTGCGTCTGCGTTTGAAGGACGTCGTTCATCTGGTCTTGCTTCTGCGTGTACGACGGTCGAAAGAGGTCGTACTATTGCCTGACTGTGATCTGGAAAGGGGAGGGAAAGAAAAAAAACATCAAAGAAGAGACCTCCTGTTTGTTTTTGTCTTTTTTGCCCCCCCCTCCCTCCGAAACAGGCAGACTACATCTGTTTGAATGATGGGAGAGCCCGACCCTTTCTGAGCGCCGAACCTCACGAAACTGAGACAAAAAGACAGGGCTTACACTGGATGACAATTCAAGACTACAGCACAAAGGATTCAACAGCACACTGGAGAACAGGAATGGCCTGTTCTTCCTACAAGCAGAAATCACAGCATTGCCAAAAAGAACAAAGCTACAGATACACAACACAGAACAGGGAAAAATTGGCATGATAGCACCGACCACAACACTGACACCACAACGTCCTGCAGATACAGGATAGGCAGGAGATTGCTGGCATACACAGGCAATACAGAAAGACACTCTTCACACCATCAAGAACACAGTGTCCAGCCCCAGAAGAACAACTTGAGGGCTACAGGAGAACAACCATCAGATTCCAGGATGGTACGATGGTACAACGAACACGTTTGAGGGCAAGTGTCAAACAATGGAAATGCCACACAAAGCACAACAGCAAATGTGGAAAGGAGAAACAGCATTCAGGACTAAGAAAGGCACAACACTGCCAGAGACACTACAGCAACAGTTTGCAGCAAAGACACAGCCAAAGAGCGCACCACAGAAGGTCACACCACAAGTGATCCAGCACAACCCACGCAAGAGATTGAATGAGAAAACAACACCACCAACAATCAGTCACACAGCAGCATCACACACCACCAAAGGTGCGGCTGGACATGGACTTCCACATCCTTTAGAAGTACACCCTCCTGGAGGAGACTACTGGTACAGAGAAGGCCCATGCTGGAAGAGAGTACACATCGAGCCACGCACAGCAATTTACATACCAGAGCAGACACATGACGGGCCAGACATCAAGCGACTTGCACCATGGAGACAGACCAAATTAGATGAATGGACAACACAGCCAGCAAAGACATCAAATAAGCCTTGGACAGGCTGGACAAACCTCGAAGAACATCAGGAATTTCCAACACAACTTGAGTCAGGTGATGCGAAACAACAACAAGGCACAAAAGCAAAAGCAGTCCAAGCACCTAAGCAATCAACACCGCAGGAGATCCTAGAGCACAATGTGACACACCTTCCTTACAGGAATTGGTGCCCAATATGCGTACAAGCGAGAAGCAAACAAAACAATCACCCAAAGCAACACAGCAAGCTTCCAATCATACAGCTTGACTTCGCTACATCAAAGGCTTTGATGACAGCAACGTGCATCCAATCCTCACAGCAATTGACATCCAATCTGGGATGATCGTAGCAATACAGCCAACCGACAAGAGGATGCTCTTCGACTAGCACAAGTCAGAACACTAGGCACAGATCAGGCAAAACTACAACCCACTCGTGCCTTGGATAGTTCGACGCAGTGCATACATCATGAACAGGTATGCAGTCCACAGCAATGGATGCACAAGCTACTTCAACAGATGGACCAGAGAGCAAAACACACCACTTTGCGAGTTTGGCGAGACAGTGCAGTACATGCTTCCAACAGTGAAACAATTTCCAAAACTAGAGCCAAGGTTCTGCAACGGGATCTGGCTTGGCAAGGATACAACAACAGGCGAGTCCGTCATCGGGATCTACAACAAGATCGTCAGAGCAAGGACAATCAGAAGGCAAATAATGCCTGACAAGTACAACCAGCAACTACTGGACTGTGTACACGCAGGTCCATGGAAGATCAGCACTGCCTACACCAACTCTCACCACACCAGTGACAATGCCAGCAGCAGTCAAAGCACCTACATCACAGAAAGATGCTCAACGACAAGCACAGCATCAGAAGGCAAGAGACAGAGCACAGCACAGTCGAGTGATCAACAACCAAAGCAGAAGAGGACGGCAGAACCAACATCACCAATGGCTACATCACCAACACATCAGAAGCGACCAGCATTGCCAGACAGCCAAAACCACTGCAAAAGCAGGGCCCGGAAAGGGGTCCCGCTCTCCAGAAAAAAAGCACACCTCAATCGTCCGAATCGGGATATTGGAGAGGGTGCTTCCAACATTATGGGAACGTTCTTGGGATGGCCTAGACTCTTCAAAGCACCACATTGGTGCTACTGGTACCTTAATCGCGAACGGTGCATCCTTTTCGCCGAATAAGGGTTTGTGCCAAAATGGGAGGATTGCCCAGCTCCACTGGGCAGCTCCCCTCAGCAGCTGATGGGAGTAGACTTGATGCCACTCCCACAGCGAGGGAGGAATCCTCCCACCTCACCGGATGCCCTCCCGGCATCATGGGTGAGGAAGGAAAGTAGCGAAGATCAGCTTGATCAATTCGCTTTCGACTGAGGGGAAGACCCGGTTCTCAGTCGGAAATTGCGGGTCCGGATGAGTAAGTTCATCCGCCCACGTGTTAAAGTCGCGCTTCACATGCGACGGTCCCAACATGACCTGGTGGTCATGCAGTGTTAACACAATTTCCATGAGGATGGCCGCATTGGGCATCCTGCGAGTGGAATCGTTGAGCAGGGAGAAAACGTTTCCCTGGTTATCACTAGCAACCAGAATCCTAGTGTGAGAAACCGAGCCGGCTGCACAAAGCAGAGCAGCCCTCACCAGAAGGAGGAGGCCGAAGAGCTCCAAGGCCGCTATCGCTCGCTGCGGGTCCCCAGTAGCGAAGGCCCACGGCTCGCCCTCCGGTGTGATTCTGTGTTGGAACCACTTCACGCGGGACTTGTCGGGGTTGGGCACGTCCGAGCACCAACCACCAACCCATGCATGGTCCGCCTGTTTGCCAGCTCCCGCATCAGATGCCCCCGTCCAGCTGGAAGTGTGGGAGCAAATGGAGATGCCAGTGGGAACCTCTGGTTGAAGAGCTTCCCCAGAAGGATGGCCAGAGCACGAACCAGCTTCGGTGGCCTGCCCGAAGTGGTGCAGGCCTTCTTCCAGCTCCAAAAGGGCTGGAGGAAAGGTTTCGTCAATGGACACGCCGAAGTAGCCCATTGAATCCGGCCCAGGGCTTGTTCCACCTCCTTGCTGGTAAAGATGTCCCCCTGGGCCAGCCGTTTGAGAGTGGCCAGGATTATGACGTGCTTGACTGGAGCCAGCAGCACACAGGGCGTGATTGGGTCCACCACGAATCCCAACCAGGTATTGACCGGGGAGAGCGCCGTCTTCTTCCAAGAAAGCGGGACTCCCAGCGCCAGAAGAGTGGCCAGGATGGCTGTGGCGTCCCAGTCCGCCCTGCTGCATCTGAGGACCCAGCAGTAGTCGTCCACAAAAACTAAGTGCCAGTCTACCTGAGGGAAGATGTAGTACAAGAGTCTGAGCACCAAGGATGCCTTTCTTCCCCAGTACAGTTGTGCCGAGGCCATGCCGTACGTGCCCACTCTATTGACCCACCACCGGTTCTGGATGCAGGCCACCTGGTATTTCCAGTCTTTCTGGAGCACTTTTATGCGCCTGTGGGCCTTGGTGACATCCGCCTTGAGGATGATGAAGGTTTCCCCCCGTGTCGGCGGCTGCCACGTCAGGGGTTCCCCCCTATCAGGGCCCTCGGCACCTGGGGGCAGGCTGGTGCTGTGGGGGTTCCTCTCAGGGCCCTCGGCACCTGGGAACTGCCCCTGCACCGGCTGGCGAACATCCCTAGGTTCCTCATCAGTGCCCGAGGATGGGGCTCGGAGTAGATGAGGATGGTCCGCCGCTGTCCTGAGCCAGTGGATGGCATGGAGGCAGTCTCCAACCATCGGTGCGGTGGTCTTCTCCTCCGTGTGAGCCTGGATGTGTGCGTTTGCTCCCCCTTTTGAGCCATCATAGATCGTCCTGATCTTGTCCGACTCATCAATCCCTGCAAGGGGGCCCGGGCAAAGTTCCTCCGGTTTGCAGCGGCACCTCTCTGCCGCCTCGGAGCGAGTGAAGGGCCCGTCCACCATGTCCAAGGCTCGTAAAAGGTTGATTCGATTTCCATGAGTTCAGCCGTTGGGTAGTTACCATGAGCCACTGGCGGGGGATCTTCCCCTTCTCTCCCTTAAGCTCCTCAGTGGGCCAAACCCGGGGAGGTCAAGGTGGGGTCCGAGACTCCCAAGGGGACCCCCTCTTTCAGTGTTAGGGGGAATTCCCAATCAGGGTCACCTGAAAGGGATGCCAAGTGCGACACTAAGTCCAGGAGGAAGGGCTGTCCTGGGCATCGTTCATGGAGGTGCCTCGGGCCTAGGATAGCCCGCAGCTCCTCGAGGTCGGCTTCCTGGAAGGGGTGTGTGGTGGCACCTGATGCCAGGGACATTCGGACCTTGTCAATCCAGGGACGGGTAAGGGTCATGATCAAGGCGCCCAAAGTAGCCAATGGGGAAATTCTCCGAAAAGGGGGGTTGAGCCTCCCTGGGGAAGGTTTTCCCCCCCCGTCCCTCAGGGGGCGTGAGCGGAAACCCAATTGGACGATCGCCACCCGGTCAGTGAGGTGTGGGACCCTGAAAGCGGGCAGGCATTCGGGGCGGTCCAGGACCTGGTCCCCCTGTCCCTCCTTCCCCAGTTGT